TCTGGTGTATCCATCCAGTAAATCCACGAGGGATTTACCGGCTTTGTACCGATCCTCATCGGATCGGTATAGTACACGCAACGGATTGCTGTACCATACAGCTGTTGCCGACGACACGCCTCGTGTCGTCGTACCCGCTCATCATGATTTGCGTTTGCGCATCATGTATGAGTGTCACGATGCCCCAACAAGCGGCCATCGTGGTAGAGAAAAGACTTACATCACGGTAAGTCGTGACTTTTACTGGCCCCGCCAGTATCAGTTAGTTCGCAAGTACATACGTGCTTGCGAGGTTTGCCAACGGGTGAAGCCTAGTCCTTCATCCCGTGCGCCATTGCAGCCTCTGCCTGTTTCGACAGAGTGCTGGCAGTCCGTTTCAATGGACTTCGTCTTCGGGTTTCTTGAAGACGCTCACAAGAATAATGGTATTCTTGTGTTTGTAGACCGATTTAGCAAGATGGTCCATCTTGCTGCATTCCCTTAGTCGATCAAGGCTCAAGGTTGTGCTCGTGTCTTTCTAGACACGGTCTTTAGACTCCACGGGTTACCCCGTGAACTCGTATCCGACCGTGACCCTCGGTTCACGGCGGCATTTTGGCAAACCGTGTTCCGTACTCTCGGAACACGATTGAAGATGTCCACTTCTGACCATCCAGAAACAGATGGTCAGACGGAACGTGCGAACCGTGTCCTCGAAGAGATTCTTCGAGGATATGTCCACTCGTTTCCGAGTTGGAGCGAATTCCTACCCATGGTGGAATTCGCCATCAATAATTCGGTGGATGCTTCAACACAGCACACACCGTTTTACGTGAATGGCCTACGCCATCCACGAGTGCCCACCCTTATAGAGTGTAACTCTTGGATAAGAGTGGGGAGGGACTCGCTCGAGCAAAAACCGTTTTGGTTCTTGCTCATCAGGTGTCGCCGCTAACGTCGTCACGTATGATGCCGATGTCGATCAAGTCGACATCGATGAAGAAGATCGCCTCAATAAAATAGCGATGACGCTATTATTGACTCGGATGATGATGACGATGCTGGTATATTCAGCATCGTCAACGATTATGCCAGCGAGGAAGAAGACAACCACGCTGAAGAAGAGAGAAATCTCTTAGCAGTGCGCACGAAGCGCACTGACAGACAAAACAAAGAGTCAGCAGAGAACTTCCTGCTGACTCGAGAAGCGGTAGCCCGTTTCGTTCAGGACTCCATCGCAAATGCGGTGGACCGTCAGAAACGGAACGCAGACAAGAATGGAAGAGAAAATGTTCTTTCATTTAAGGTTAATGACCTAGTACTACTGTCTACGGTAAACTTACCTGGACATGCAGTCACTAGTGTCGGCAGTAGTAAACTACTGCCGAAATACATTGGGCCATTTCGAGTGTTGCATCGCAAGAACAATACATACCCACTCGAATTGCCACGTAGGATGCGCACGCATCCTACGTTTTACGTGGGGAGGCTTAGGTCGTATTGTCAGTACGAGCCTTCTTCTTCCGATGAAGATAGCCCCCACGTTCAAGAACATCCATCAAGTTCTTGCGTTCGCGCTCCAGACGATCCGTCTGGTCGCGTAGATATGATACCTCGGAGCTCAACCGAGATATCTCCCCGCGAGCTGTCGCCAGCTCGACGAATAGGGAGCGGACATCCCGCTCGACCTGAAGCTGCGCTGTGGCATAATCGGCGCGATCCCTCGCCCGATCAGCCTCGTGATTCTTGCGGTTCTTCCGCACGATATCGGTAAAAGCGTAGCGCCGGTCGCGCTCGTGCTTCAAGTCATCGCTAAATTCATCGATTGCGCTATCCATCTCGTAAGGGTCGAGATGGTGAACCGAATCATCTGGATGAGGTCTTTCCTTCTCCACCACATCCTTTGGTGGATGCTCACGGTGATCAACGCTTTCTAATGGAGCGTATCTTGAATCACCGTGACGATTCAGGATCAAGGACGAGCTATCTCGTCCAGTGGCGGGGATATCCACCCTCTTGGAACAGCTGGGAGCCCCGCTCTCAGCTGTTGATGGATGTTGAAGGTCTCGTCCGCCAGTATGACGAGACCCATCCGATGAGTCCTGTGGCCCATCGGTAAACACGCGCTCTTGGCGCTTGTAGACGGATTGCAAGTTTGCAATCGCGTCACGCATCTCAGCCGAGATGTGTGCCCTTCCCCAGGGCGAATTTAGGGAATACACATCCCTATGTGCACGCTGCGAGTTGTCATCACAACTCGCACAAGGGTCTCCCCATGTGAGGCAAGGAATGCCTGCCTTACTCGAAAAACAATGCAACCGGTACCTAGCACCGGTTGGCGTTCTCCTTTCGAACCTGAGGCGTGTCGCCTAAAGTTTCTTGAGCCACCCTTCTCGTCCAAAATTCTTTACGTTTTGGACGAACGCGTTCCACGCAGCCAAAAGCGATGCTTTGTCACGCTTTTGATTGCTGTTGTACCATCGATGTCTAAGAAAGACATCGAGATAAAATCTTCTTCAGCGCGAAAGTTCTTCGCGCTGGAACTCAAGCCGTGAAGCTCACTCGCATCGAATAATGGTATTCGATGGTGTTGGCTTGTCTCGTGAGACAGGCTATTGATGAGTTGTTCGGGCAAACGCCACGGCTTCAGCTCATCACGCTTCACAGTGGTACCCTTGTCGGTACCACGGTTGTCAGTATGACGATGGGTTCCACCATCGTCAAGTCGCTCGTGCGAAGGAGCACGAGCTGATTGCGGTGATGAGCAAACATACTCATAACCCGATACGTCATCACTGCCGAACAGACTGTGTTGCAACTCACGAGTCCGTTCGTTCGGCAGTGGCCTTGGCGAACACAGAGGCGTCGCCGGTGAGCGAAACGCCTCTGGCGCATTGCCCGAGTCAGACACGTCTGACTCGACAGAGTAGATGACCTCTACGTCGAGGTCATCATGCGCACGCGGTGAGGTGCCGCGTGCACCTGCAGCACCTGTTGCTGCAGGCGAAGAAGGAGCAGCAGACGACGAATCGTCTGCCGCAGAGGCTGACACAGCACCGGGCTGTGTAGGTCTTGAGTCACCTCGCATAGACATGTTAACTATGCGAGGTCAAGCGGAAAGTGAATGGAACGGACCCAACAAGTGCTCCCTGTCCCAATGGTGGCCAACGGGTGGCCGCCATATTTTTCGATAGTCACACGGTGACTATCAGTCAAGGGTGGGTGATGTAACGGGGCAGCCCGTTACATGATATTGTCACTTTCCTGAAAGTGACAATAAAGAATATGAAGTTGGATATTCTTTAAACAATATCACCAAAGTGGTGATATTGAAGGGTCGACCAAAGAGTCTGTTCATTGGTTGATATCTTGATGATATCAACCCACCAATCGCCGCAAGACGCGCGCAATGAAAGGTGACGAGACGTCACCATACACTCAGTTATATTAACATAATCAAGTTAAGTCAAACAGAGAGACAGTAGTTAAAAGACTTAATTATATTAATACAACAGTTCTGCTTCTACCCTACCTACGCTTCCTCGCTTGCCACGTGTACGTCTGTCGGGGCACCGAAACCCTTGCGTTAAATTCACGCAAGGGTGTGCCCCGTTACAAGCAATGACAGCCAATTCTTGTAAGTCATATAACGACTACGAAAAGACGACCTGCGTTGCGAGGTAGGAAGTTAAATGAGCTAAAATATGCCGCTACAGTTGCGACGTACATTTGCATCACAGACCTTAGTATAGACATCTTTGTGGTACACACGATGGTCACTGATCAAAATGTGATGCTAAGAGACCTCGGTGGGGTCAGGTGCGAGTATGCGGGTGTCACACCGATAAAATCGCTACCCTAACTATTGCATCACAGCTACTTCTCAACGGCCGGTCGACCACAGATACCACATATAACTGAAGTTTGCTTGAAATTTATGCGTAAAAGACCAAAAGTCCATACGCATGACAAGCCGGCAAATTGCGCATCAACCGACCATACGAATGCGCTTCGATGATGACAAATTTGAAAGGTGGTCCTATGGCGCACTTGGATGGTATTTATCCCATCGATATTCAGGTGCTGGCCCTATTTATGAGCCAACGCATCAGCTGATGATGCACGTGATGGTGATGAGCCTTACGCGCCGCATATCCAAAGTTGTAGCCGGACATTTTCTTGTAAGTCGTAATCGATCTGACCTACTTGTACTCCGCATGTTCAGACAGGTAGGATGGCAAAGGACTACATGCTTCGATGTCTGGATACTCACAGAAACGTACCAAAGATCGGTCTATGATGAGAGAGGCACCTGCCGACGACAATCAGCGCTCGTACCCATCAGTGGGTCCATAACCATTCGTGAGACATTCGCATCTGCTGGGATTCAGGAAAGAGTCTGCATGGAACTATACTTCAGGATTGTGCTTTCTCTGTAAAGTCGCAAGCGTCTGTCTCTGCAACACTGAGACGTCCGTGCACCAAACATATCTCCATCTGTGTGGCTGCTTTTCGCCTTCGACGACCTGCAGTTCGGCTGTGTCAAACCCGTCTGTCCTCAAGCTGAAGCTGCCTCTATGGTCTACGGCTCTGCCACGTGTGGCTATATGACTCTGTGGTGTGATTTGTGGTAGAGATAAAGGCTTCTTCACCCGGCACTGGATCTTAGCCGTGCGTGCGTATGAATTTTGTTCACGCTGGAGCTATCCGCCGACCAGAAGGTTACGGTGATGCGCTCAGCTTCAGGAGGGGCGCCGACTGGGTGATCCTTGATGACGCTCGTGCAAGGATTCCCAGGAATAGCAGCCGAGCTTCAAGGCTTCCCAGGAATAGCAGCCGAACTTCATTGAACTGGGCCTAATCGTGTTAATGGGATACTCCGTCACCATCTGCAGAGTACGATGACGACCGGATCTCCTGCAACCGTACCAACGGTTGGCTCGCACGTTGCAGCCGAAAGAAGTGCCACGCGTTTCTCTCACTTTCACTTTTGCTTGCAGCCACTCGACACCAACTTGCACATGCGCTCTCTTGTGCTCGCAGCCATCGGCTCATTTCTCTGCGGAAGTGCTGCGTCGGTGGCCCCCGACGATGTTCGGTCCCATGCTGTCGCTTTCAACCAAAGCACTCTTCTACGCCTCCATGATGCCGCACCTGGTGATCCAGGACCGCTGAAGTCACACGGCAAAGCTGTGGGCACGACCGCGTCTGTCGGTCCAAGGCTTTTGCCCGACTCGGCTGTGGACGGGACCGGCCTCGACAACGAGCAAAGGGAGGAGCGAGGGTTTGATCCGGTGAAGTCACTACACAGTCTACGTGACGATATGTGGGTTTTTCTCACACGACGATCCCCTGCATCCGTTTTCGACAAGTTTGTTCGCCCTAAGGAACCTGTCACTCGTCGCGCCATCGTACAGTGGCTGGAGTATGTTGACACGCCAGAAGCGAAGAACTTCTACTACAGCGGAAAAGGGCTGTTTCAGGATCTGAGGAAGAAAATACCACTCAGCCAAAAGATAGGACTGCTCGATTTGCTAGCAGTTGTTGCTACTGAAATGCATGCTGCCACTTCGCGACGACCGTCCTCTGCACTCAACTCTGACAAGCTGAATGCGATCCTGCTGAAGCCCCGGGCTGCGCTCAAACTGTTCGACCATAAATTCATAATAACGGAGCCAATGTTAGCGATGAGCTGGATCCGGTACAATGAGGCGGTCAGACAAGTGGATCCTGACAGCGCTGTTCCCCTTGCTGAGATAGCAAGTCGTTTGTTTGTGCACAATCCAAGCAAAGGTGGCCCTGTGTTAGATGGTCATACCAAGGCGGTCGGCGACTTCCTGACGCGTCTATGGGAAAAATTATCGCGTGACGAGAACTTTCAAGGAGTCGTCAAGGAATTACAAGCTGAGTACGACAAGGTTTTGAAAGAAACTCGCACAATGGCTAAGGACCCTGTCGACACCAAGCTGGCAACAGAGTAGCACACGTGAACGGTGCGTGGTGATTGTCTCGTATCGGCTCAAGTAGTTTGCATCTCGGATGTCGTAGAGACTTTGGCGTGAGGAGGCAGTAACGGTAGAGAAGCCGAGTTCGCTCAGCGGCAGCTGCTGTGGACCAAGCACGTTTAAACTTTCAATACACACATGGTTGAGCTTTGGCGTGTTCCAACGAGGCGGGGTCAAGCCCCTTGCTGCCTTGTTGCCTCTACTGCATTAATATGTCGACTGTGACAAGGGCGACAAATTCAGACTGACGTGGACATGATGGGCTTCGAGTCGACCGAAACGCTTTGTTTTGGCCAGCATAGTAGCGGAAGGAGTGCCTCTCTGTGGACTACGAGTGTTTGCCGTAGCGTGAGTCCCCCGAGTCAGTCGACGACTCGGGCAGGCGATTGTGCTTGTAGCCAGCCGTACGTCCAGACAGTCAGCAACGAACACGCTCGTCGACCGCGAAGCAATGAACCACATCCACACCACGGCGACGTCTTACCGCCATGCAAGATGAAATCGGTGACCAAGTCTGGACTCCTGCAGTCGCCTTCCACGAATGCCTTCATGTGGACGCCAGCGACGTACTCGAGTGGCTTTGTCACATCATCTGGACATGCTGACACGGATCAGGACTATCACAGGCGGAGTGCCGAAGCCATCGAGAACTCGAACCGTACACCTGTAAGCACGTTACGTCCTCCAGCATTCCGGCATCCGATCGCTCCGATTGCATGGTCGCATCAAGAGTATGCCGTGTCCCATTCCCAACGCGTCAGATGTCGTCTTCTTTCCCCCAATATCGCTGCACTCTTTGTTGCAGCGTCGCCACTATTGTATCGTCGGTAGCCCGTCCAGATCGACCCCCCAGACGTTCCCCCGAAGCCGATGGTCCATGAACAAAGCCGGTGCCTTCTCCACCGATGCGCACGAAGTCGCAGCCCCAATGCAGCGGCCCATCTGCTATGTTTTTTCAACCAGCTGCAAGACGGCCCCATCGAACCCGCCGCAGACGTCAGCGTGGCTCTTGTTAGCGCGCGGAGGCCAAACGGCGGCTGACACTCTGCGACTCTTTTGTGCACGTGGCGACAGCGTCCAAGACGTCGCCGCGGAAACTGCCGTCGGCCAACGCCCATCGGCTGCCAATTCGGCCCACTCGGCGGCCCTTTCGTCCGTTCTTCGAGTACGATGAACGGCCGCTACGCAGGCGCACACACCGAACTCTTCCCGCCCCGTCGTGCACCGCACGTGCCCTCTGCCTGTCCATGTAGAGGATCACGAGTGACGACGGGATGGGCATGTCGTGAAAGGGCAACTTGCAAGGACAGTGGTATTCGGATGATCTGGATTGAGCGATCGATTTATGAGGGGATTTATACATTCATTTAAGTAGTAGTTTAACTTTTCATACTGCTTTCCATTTTGCAGCACAGAGAGGGAGTTGATGTAACGGGGTAGCCCGTTACATGAAAATTGTTTTTATGAAGAAATTGTCAATAGATAATATTGCGTTGAATATTCTTTCAACAGTATCACAGAGCATGATGAAATTGTTGGGATGACCGAAGAGTCTACTCATTGGTTGATATCGTGATTATATTAACTCATTAATCGCTGCTAGACGCGCGCAATGGGTATTGAGTGGACGTCATCATACATTTAGTGACATTAATATAATTAAGTCAGTACAAACAGAGATACAAGAGTTATAGTACTTAATTAAATTAAGGCCACGACTAGGGGTAAAATCCCATTTTTGCTAGGGGCACACCCGCCCGCCTAAATTGATGATGAAAAGGACCTCACATATTATAATGCAGAATTTGTGTTCGTATACAGTCGAGTTCAGTTTAACAAAAACCCATTAAACCTAATACTGTGATTGAATGGTCAGCCTCTGGAGGTTAAGGGGATGGTTTTTATCTACTTCAATCGAAGAAGAACATGTCTCTAATACCTATCTTAGCCGAGCAATTGCTTCTAAGTTCCCTCATAAGCATACTATACAACAGAGAATACCGAATACTGACACGCACAAGCTGGACTACCAAGATGGCGTGCGAAGACACGAGAGAGAGACAATCGTCGCTGGAACATCTCCAACCCCCACCTGCCGATCTCGTTGATAATCGCTTTCCATCCAGGAACGAGATGGAGACGAAGTTAAACGGTTTTGCGTCTACCCAAGGGTATGCCATCGTCGTCGCAAGATCAAAGAAAACGAGGCGGGGTCTTCAACAGGTCTACTATAAGTTCGATCGCGGCGGGACGTCCAAGAACAGTCATAACCTCAGCGATGGTGAAAGGAAGCGACGGAAATCCAGCAGGTTGATGGAATGCCCATTTAAAGGGCGCGGCGATGCGAAAGCGGACGGAACTTGGACCTTCTGCATCACAACCGCCAAGCACTACCACAATCATTCGTTGCATCTGGCCGGGCATTCAACCCACCATAAGCTCTTGCACAAGCTGGTTGCAATTATCAAGGGACTGCTTGACGCAACGGTGCCTCCACGAAGCATTCAAAATCAGTTGAAAGCGACACATGGTGTAAAGATTCCCATGAAAAAGATTTACAACACCATTCAGCAGCTGACGCAAAAGGAGCTTATCGGCAAGAGTCCGGCCGAAGTGCTGGTCAAGGTTTTCAGGGATGAGGCCTATGAAATTGAGCTGGTTTTGGACGATTGTGGACGCGTAACCCATCGCTTTTTTGCACACCCGGCAATGGTGGAGTTAGTGAGACTCAATCACGACGTGTCCGTCTTGGATTTCACCTACAAGACAAACAAATACCGTTTGCCTCTCCTGCACGTCGTCGGTTCCACCGCATTGCATACCACATTAGTCGCAGCCTTCGTTTTCATGAAGAACGAGAACGAAGAATTGTACAGGACTGCTGTTGGTTTCTTGTACAAACTTTTCCACATCGATACTCTGCCAAAAGTCTTTGCAGTTGATCGAGAACTTGCCTTGATCTCGGCATTGCAGTATCAATTTCCTGAGGTCTCGATTTTGTTGTGTGTGTGACATATTGAGAAGAATATCTCCAAGAATTGCAAGGGACGTCTTGGCAGCAATCTCGAACAGTTCATGAAAGACTGGGCAGCGGTAAGAAGTTCTATTTCTGCAATTTTCACCAAACTTGTAATCTATCATGCTAATATCATTTTTTAGATAGTGCGTGCAGAGACAGAAACTCTATTTTATGAGCTTTGGTCCAGTTTCCACACTTGCAACCAAATGTACCAGGAAGCGCTTAAACACCTGGACGACACGTGGATATATCCTCACAAGAAAAGGTTTGTCGCGGCATGGACCAACAACGTTACTCACTTTGGCCATGCTGTTACTTTACGTGGTGAAAGCGCTCACATCCGGCTAAAAACGTATCTAAGTACGAGCATGCTTCATTTTTTGCAATGCTGCAAGAGGATCAAGGTGTCGATTGAAGGTTTCCTGACAGATTACCGCGCAAAACGCGCGAGAGATCAAATGCTGACCCCACTGTTTGCCTACCCTTCCCCGAAGGCAGACATCTTTCAGAACGTCACAAAAAGCGTTTCAAATTTTGCTTTGAGCAAAGTCAACGAGAAGGCAAGACAAACATGTGATGATGCTGGCAAAGTTTAACATATCTTTATTTACCTTTGATCTGGTTGTAGCTGGTATATGCATGCAGACCTGTCCAATCTGATGAAAAGATATGCTTTCATGCGTTCACGACGGTCTGGGGTATGCCATGCCATCAACAGCTCAGGAATGTGATCAGCGAGGATAAGCGATAAAGCTTGAACGACTTTCATCCCCATTGGCACATTGTGGAACGAATTCCTCTTTGTCCTGATGCTTTTGATAGACCCGAAGATCATTTGCCTGTTGTGATGGAACATTAGCCAACAACGTGGCTATGTTACCGGATCACCAACAGAGAGCAACTATTGAGCATCTCCACCATCTGTCCCAGCTTTTGCCCTGTCCGATTGAGTAACCAGAAGCTGTGAGGACAAAGGGCCGCCCAAGCACCTCGACAAAAAAGAAATTTGTCTGGATTTGAATACGTGGTACAATCGCAGAAGAGGAGGAAAGCGGAGAAATGTAGCGCATGTGGTGGCGTCTGTCACCGCAAAAACTCGAAGAGCTGTCCAAATTATATCTCGCCTTCCACGTTTGCAGCCGCAATTCATCAAAATGCAGCGACGTCGTCAGCGACGAATTTGCTTAAGCTATAATTCGATTTGGATTAATTATCGAGCTACAGATGGCTTCATTATCCAGCACTACAACCACGTCCGTGTGCTCGATTAGAGTGTGCAGGTAACATTGACTTACAAGGCTCCACAACTTCCGACAAGACCAGAATCAAGGAAAAAAATCGTAAAAACAATTTACCTTTGCTACTATAAATTGATTGATAGCCGTTCAAGCTAGAGCACACCCAGTCATAATCATGTACACCCACCCCAAGCATTGTTAGCCATATATCCTTTCTGTGCAACCCATGCAAGTTTTCGAACCCGGTATAGTACCTGGTCGTCATACCTTTTAATCGCACAATGACCTTGTAAGCAACCGTTCTTAGCATCTTCGTACCCGAAATTATCTGACCGGGGTGGGACGATCAACGGTACGGATTGGTACGTACCTCGTCACAGACGTTAGCTGTAATTCCACAAATACTGCACGCCGTACGTGCTTGTTCGTGCCTTGAGGAAGCTAAGGAGAAGCTTACTCGAGCTTCAACTCACCACTGAACGGATGCGAGAATTAGTAAAGCCATGTTGATGTTAAAGAAAAAAAGATGCAGAGCAGATGAGAATAAGGAGAAGAATATATGCTTGGGTGGTCGTCTACTAAGTAAGACCGATGCAGCCATGAGCAGAGGTACTTCCAAGCAGCGTCTACTGCAGCTGAAAAAAACGTCCGAGTTCAGTCACGAGCTGTGGATGGTTACTATTGTTCTTATTGGCATCGAATTGGCTCTCAATCAAATT